ATTATTTTTTAATCTTCTTTTCTTCATTTCAGGATTTTTGTTGATTCAGGCTTGGCCCGATAATGCTACTGATCTCTATGCTTTTGAAAATCTGGAGATTATACGAGGCAGAACCAAGCAACAGTAAGTAAATCATGTGCCAGAGCAACTGTAAAAGAAACTCTGTTTAGAGGTGCGTTTGTCTGAGCGCATCAAGGTACCAAGCAGTGAGACGCAGGCGTCCCCAAACTGATGCAAAATGGGAAAAAGCCTGCAAGGAGTTGAGCACCATCGGTGTAGCAGTAGATGATTTGCCCTGGGGGGATGAGACCCTCAGCTCTGTGCCACATGTGGAGGGCTGCCCTGAGCCTGCTCTGGGACCAGGCTCCCCACCGCCAGCCTGGAAGTGCAAGCAGGACAGAGAGCACTCTTTGCAGTCCAGGGCAAGTTACGATGTGATCAGAAGCACTTTGGGATTTGAGGTAGCTGAGCAGTTGGGGATGGAGACCATGGCTGCCAGGCGGTGCAGACACAGGCAGTGCATCCAGTGCCCACCTGGGCTTACCCTGAGCGGAAGGATGACTTGGTTGACCAGCGCAAAATAATAGCTGCTGTACATACAACCACTGTTGCACATCATTTACTTGACAGAGTGTACGTCCTGCCAGTTTTAGCTTAAAATTCCCATGCAAAACCAGATATGAGTATTGCAATTGTTTTATGATAGGTATGTCATGTACCAAGCATTAAGCTTAGAGGGCTGAGCAATGTCTTCCTTGAACAAAACTGAGTTCACAGCAACACATGTTCGAAAACCAAGAGAAAAATGTGCTAAGTTAAACCCTACTTACTGATCCTCTTCCTTCTGTTTTTTTTTTTTTTTCTTTTTGTCCATCTCCATTTTAGTGGCCAGTATTCCCTTGCCGTTGTTAACTTGAAAATACAGTCACTGGGGCTGCGATCCCTCAAGGAAATAAGTGACGGAGATGTTGCCATTATGAAGAACAAGAACCTCTGCTACGCTGACACCATGGACTGGCGCAGCCTGTTTGCAACTCAGAGCCAAAAAACAAAGATTATACAGAACAGAAATAAAAACGAGTGTGGTAAGTCAATGCTGCCTTCCTGCCCTCTGCAGAAACTCATGCTAAAATGTAAGAGTTATTTGAGCAAGGCTTTTTTCTCTCTATTCCCCTGGCTGCAAAATTCATCAGTGATACTGCTTTAATGAAGGTGGTGAGGGAAAAGTGGGATTTTTTTCCCACCGAGGATGTGGACTTCATGATGTCCAGCAGATAGGAAGGAACTGCTTCACCACTGTGGGCATAGTGAAGCCACGTAGGTTGAAGCTAACTCCAAACATTGCACTTTTCTGACAAGGTTGAAGCTGTTGTTCAACCATGCTGCTGTTGACTGCAGTGGTCCCTGAGCCAAAATCTAATAATTTCTCTTTGCAGAATATGAATTTGTTGTGTTTTGGAAATTGATCATAGAATCACAGAATGGTTTGGGTTGGAAGGGACCTTCAAAGATCATCTAGTCCAACCCCCCAGCCACGGGTAGGGACATCTTTCACCAGATCAGGTTGCTCAAAGCCCCAACCAATCTGACCTTGAACACTTCCAGGGATGGGGCATCCACAGCATCTCTGGGCAACCTCATCCAGAGTCTCACCACCCTCATAGTAAAAAATTTCTTCCTTATGTCCAATCTAGACCTACCCTCTTTTAGTTTACAACCGTTGCCCCTTCTCCTGTCACTACAGACGTTGGTAAAAAGTCGTTATAAGCCCCCTTTAAGTATTAAAAGGCCGCAATAAGGTCTCCCTGGAGCCTTCTCTTCTCCAGGCTGAACAACTCCAACTCTTTCAGCCTGGTGCCGGTTTAGCTTTATTACACGGCTGTTAAGCTGTCACAGAGGAGCTTGTTTTTATTTTGAAAGGCCAGAAGTCACTCTTCATTTCAGGCTTTGGGAATTAAGAGAAGCATGCTTATTCCTCTTCCACACTGCCAGGACCATTCACATCTGCTTTGGAACAGGTTGGAGAAACTGGCTGGTCAGGATGGAGTCACTTGCAGTGCTGTGTTTGCCCTCGTTCCTGCCTTGACGTCCATGGCCTTTTTTCTTGTCTCTGTCTCTCCCAGCTGCTGCCAGGCATGTTTGTGACCCCCTGTGCTCAGATGTGGGCTGCTGGGGCCCCGGACCCTTCCACTGCTTCTCCTGCAGGTTTTTTGATCGCCAGAAGGAGTGTGTGAAACAGTGCAATATCCTGCAAGGGTAAGGTGTCTGGGGTGTGCTTGAGGTTTGGCAGTGATTTGGGGGGTTGGGATTTTAGAATGTGTTGTAGCTAGGAAGAAAGGATTTCACCAGCTTTGCACAGATGTTGTGTGAACACAGTGCCTAAAAAGAGGGAAAAGCTGGGAGCTGAGGTAGCTCTCCTTCCCCATTCAGCATTGCTTAGGAGTTTGCTCCTGCCACAGTGACTGCCATGAAAACATCCCCTCAAGCCCAGGAGGAGACTATATGGAGGTGCAAGGAGGCTAAGTCTTACACTTCCTTCCCCTAAGAAATAAAGGAGCTTAAAGACCTCGGTGAAAATCCACGCTATGCCTGTCATGTCAAGCACATCAGTCGAGAGCCAGAGCCAGCTGCAGTCACTGGCAGTTCAGTCACCCCCAGAGCCAGGGCTTCACTGTTCGGTAGGCTTCCTTACTGCAAAGGGACTCTTCTATTTGCTCAAATGAGTGGCTCGCCCTTGCAATTTGCAAAGTTGTGGTCAAGGGAGAATGAGCTTTCATCCAAAAAGCACTGGGAGCAGCAATTTCAGGCAAAATTATTGCTTCGGCTTTGCTCAGGCCGAGGAAAACGCATCACTGCCTGTGTGTCAGGACTGTGGCTCGGCTGGGTTTTCAGACAGTTCAACAGGTGATGTAGGCAGGAAAGGCATGGCTAGCACCAAAAATTACACAGATTTTTTAATAAATCTTTCAAAGTTTGACTTCTAAAAATCATGAGTGTTAAGGAAGTACTTGACAGGGTGCTGATGCCCCTGGTGTTTGTATTTGTCTAGCAAGTTGCAGTTCAGCAGCTGTCTTTTTTGTAAGTGAATTCCCTCCAGCAGCTATTATGACCTGAAGGGCATATCTGGGCATTTTTTATGTCAAATGATGAGTAGATTTAGTTTAATTAATAACACCATTACTTGAAGTGGAACAGCTTTATTGCTATTGAAACCATCTGTTCCCAACTTTCATATTTTAATGATTCATTGTGTGTTGTAGGAAGGGCATGAATTTAATTATTGGTGCATTGCTGTTTAACTTTCCTAATTATTATTTGGAGCCTTGGAATCACTTGAACTGTTTTTGCTGATCTCTTTGCATCACTACTATTTAAAAGCCTTTGGAAATCATTGCAAATATTCTGTGTCATTAGCGTAAAAGGGAAAGTAAACTAATTCGTAGTGTGCAATCTGGAGTGCCATGTGTTTCACTGTCAACCAAATTTCCCTTACTCTTACCTCCCTGGTTGTGCTGAGCAAGTGCTACCGGTGTAACCAGGAGGGTCCCGCTGTACCTCCTCCTGTCTCAGTACCATCATCCCAATCTATTTAAACTGGAAAAGTCAGGAAAAGGAGAGGTGACCACAATTTATCACTCACTAATCAGCCTGGTTTTTAATTATTTCTCTTTTTTTTTTTTTTTTCCAGGGAGCCAAGAGAGTTTGAAAGGGACTCCAAGTGCCTCCCCTGCCACCCCGAGTGCCTGGTGCAAAACTCCACTGCATACAACGCAACCTGCACTGGACCTGTAAGAGCAGATTCAGCTTAGCAAACCTACACCTCAGATTGTGTATTAATACCTCTTTCCCATGTTGAGATAATCCTGAGGTCTCATTTATCCTTCTCCAGGATAGAGTGGATGTGGGGAGGTTAGAGGACAAGATCTTGGGGCAGGGGAGCAGAAACAGGAGAGGGAAACTCAGGGTGTAATTTCTCTTTCGTGTCACCCATTGCATGTGTAATCCACAGTCACAGGCATTGCAGGGCCTTTCTTTTTTGTGTGTTTTTACAGAAAAAAATGTAAGGCCTACTTACATATGTGACAATATGGTAATTTGGTGAACATTCCGGGAACATGTAGTTACCAAACAGCCGAGCTGGCATGAAGAAATTAATTTTCCTTATTCAGAGGGAAAGAACTGTTAAAAATAGTAGCTTTTTGCCTTTTTGAAAAGCCGTGATAAAATTGTGATCAAAACAGATATTTACTGGAAAATATTCAGCAAGCAGTTTTTACTTAACACCATGTTCCCTCCTCTAACTAGGTTACAGTAAATACCTATATTAAAGTAATTGCAAGTTATGTTCAAAGAAAGGTGAGCAAAGCAAAATGATTGGATTTTCAAACTTGTTTACATATTCCAAATTCATACAAAAGCTCCTTCTACAAAAGTCAATACAGTGTAGTCTTGCTAGTCATCCAGAGTCTTCCTCAATTTTGTTCTTCTTTAATTTTGAGAATACTCTTTTGCATTAGGAAACATCCAGTTTGGCAGCAGTGCAAAGTTATTTCCTTTTAATCAGCTCAAACTCATATCTTAATTGTAAAACTCTAATTCTCTTTTTTTTGGTGGGGGCAGTAGTTGAAATTGAATCTCCTGCTTCCATCAGAGATCCTCCTCTGTATTCCTTAACTCAAATCTTTAACATCTCTTGCCATCCCCTGCAGCCACCGAGTGTTTGACCCTTGACCATCATCAGTCTGCAGTCACTGCTCAGTAATGTGAAGCATTTCCATCCTCCCTTCTGGCTTAGACCACCATGGCCTAAGGGATGTTATTAACATTATAATCTGCTTCAGGCGGTGACCATCCCCTTGTTCCATATTTGCCCAGCATCTAGTAATCAATCTATTAGAGCAGACCTTAGACATTACAGTAATTAAAACAATCTTCCTATAGTATGTCTTACTATAGTCCCACTGAAACCAGCACTGTGGGTCTGGTCCGGTGTTTCTCCATAGTAGAATTTGACCCAGAATTGCTGGTTTCCCTGCTTTAAAATATTTAGGGCATGCCTGATGCTGTTATAGTCTGAATAAAAACAGTTCTGCCAGAAATGGCCAAAGGCAATGCCTTTAAACACAAACTAAGTGCTTTTCAAAGTAAAAAAACGCACGGACTCCTTGGGTTGCCTCCTAATCCCCTGCATCTCCGTAACAGAGGAAAAAACCTGTGCTGAGAAGAAGAAAAATAATTATTTGAGGCCAGTACTTCAGGGAGGTGTCAGCAGGTCCAGCTCCATCATTTTAAACTGTGTGATGGTAGATTGCACCAGACTGCAGCCTGCCCTCTGTTTTTCAGCTTGCCCCTTATCAAGGTGTCATTAAATTATTCCCCATTTTAAATGAAAAATGCAAACTTTCTAAACAGGCAGCGACACTGAAACTCAAGAAAATTTTAGCTTTAAGCATCAGGTACTGCCTTTTGTACAAGCCCATCCTACAAGAAAGAGCAAATACTTGCAAGAACATCAGGTAGCAAGGTAATAAAACCAGATGATGCTGAAAGCTGCCAGCAGTGGAAGGAATTTAGATTTATCTTCTGAATTTCCTCCTGAATAGGCTGTGTAAGGACATTATAAACAAGCTGTTCTCTTTGCAGGGCCCTGACAATTGCATGAAGTGTGCCCATTTTATAGACGGCCCCCACTGCGTGAAATCCTGCCCGGCAGGGGTTCTGGGCGAGAACGACACCCTCGTCTGGAAATATGCCGATGGGAATGCTGTTTGTCAGCTCTGCCATCCAAACTGTACCCGAGGGTGAGTAAACACCTCGGGCTGAATGGAAACAGGGGGGAAAAATACAGGGGAACTGCTCGTCTCGAACTCGTTGCCTTCCTAACAGTCCCGTTTCAAACCACCGAGAAGAAGAAATAGCAGGGAGCAACAGAGGTCAGGAGTACACAGGTGATGTAAGCAGAGCACGGTGGACTGTATAAATAGGAGAAGTTCAGTGGCACTTCTTTATACACAAAAAAAAAGAGGAAAATTGTTTCAGGGGATTTGAAACAGGTTTGTTTGTTGATTTAAATAGGAAACTTCCTGGAATTTTACAGAACTCAACCACCAGTGATGCATTTTCTGTTTTTTTCCCACCTGGCTTGGTGTTGGGTCCTCTGTTTTTTGGGAGGAACATCAGTGACATCTGGTGGATGCTGGGCTCCTGGGGCCCATTTTTCTCTGCACCTTTCATTTTTTAGGACGGAAATCCCAGTGTGGTACCACAGTGATTTTCTTCCTTTCCTTCTCTCCATATGCTAGCACTTGGTCTGAGTTTCAAGCCTTGCTTGTCTCCTGAGTGTGGCTTTATTAATGGGTATCACAGTAAACCCAATCTGTATGAAGCGTTTTTTTCCTCATTTGGGGGCACACTTAAACCACCACCTATAATGAGCTGTGAATTCAACCGTATTTAAGCTACAGGACAATAAGTAACAAGGCTGCAGCTGTCTCCTCTCCTGGTTTCCAACCTGCAAAGGACACAGGTTGTACAGTAAGAGGTTTTACGTTTTGAGACTTGGTTGTTGGACTGTGGTGCTTTCAGAGAAAAAAACCAACCCACATTTAGTATCTTTTCTTTCACAGGCCCCTGCCCTGTACCCTTCAGGTCTGTCCAATCCAAAATCCTTCTGTAATATGCCTGTAATATGTGTTGCAAGAGAGAAGTTATAACACTGGCCTCCAACTATATTCAGACCAACCATCTTTCCATTGTCTATTTGGTGAATTCAACTGCCAGGTCACTAAAGAGCAGAGTGCCCAGGCCCCCACCTTCATGGAGAAAAGGAGATGAAGGGTTAAAACAGGAAGTAATGGCCCTTCCTAGTGCTCACAGAAAATTTAGTGCTCAGGTTTTCAGGTGGTAGCTGCAACAGACATGGGTTTGCCATGATTTACAGCGATGCCCCCTGTGTTTTGTAACAGTCACAGGCAAGGCTTATCAGGGCTTCCTATCACATGCCTGAGAACAAATGATCTCAGTTGAAAAGGGATCTTAATAACTTTGCTCTTTATTAATAACCTCAGTAGTCCCTACTGATACAAACTGGCCACAGGGATCCAATATTCTTCTAACTGGCCACATGAAAATGCGGCTGATTATTGCTAACCACATCTGAACAAGGCTCTCAACTGTGCAGCCTCAGTAGCAGGATCAAACACTAGACTCGAATGCAAACTTGGAGAACATAATCTGCCAGATTTGGATGTAGCTGCAAGCCATGCAGTGGCTCTTTTGCACAACCAAGTCCTCAGAGCAGAGTTCATCAGAAAAGTCCATTCCTGCCTGGCTTTAGCGGTGGATGGGTGTACCCCAGGAGACTGGCAGGTGATGGAGGTAGGGTACAGAGAGGTTTTTGAAAATTAGGGCTCATATGGCTCAGTGTGCTTGACCCTGTGTTATGTAGGTAGAACATAAAAAGTAGTATCAATTGCATCTCTTACTTGAAAGAACTGGGCTAAGTTTGCAACAGTTATATTGTGGAAATGCTCAATGGCCCTGTTCAAGTTGCTGCCCAAATGCAGCAGAAGAAATAGGCTGTACCGCTGAAGGGCTCAAGAGAGCTAAGATAAGGTAGTGTTACTATTTTTGCTTTACAGTTGGGACATCTGAGGGTAATGGCATTAATGGGTGGGGAGCCAGTGTCAGAGGTGTGATGTGGGAACGTGCAGCGTGATGCAGCATTTTCCCTGTGAAGGCAATCAATCAGTAATGCCGCTTACTTCTCGTCATGCCTTTCCCTCGTTGTGCTGCGGCAACGGGATCTGTTCAGCAGTGGGTGGAAAACATCTGTCTCGCAAAGTTTTTGCATCCTTAGAAACCACAGTCTCAGCGATTTCTGCATGACAAGAAACAACAACTTTATTTCTGTCCCAGTCCAATTTCACAGCTAGAGCCCACAAAATCTTATCAGCATGATTAAGTGTACTGTCTTCAGTAGTCACATAAGTAAGGGTTTCCAGGATCTGGGTCTATTTTCCTGATTTGAAGAAGCTGCAAGTGAAGTGGACTTCTCTTCCCAACTGAGCTTTGCACGAATTTTGGTTTTTTCCTTACTGGTAGTGCATCACTTCCTTTGTATTGCCATGAAGAATCCCATGTAGTCTAATTTTCTTTGATGAGTCGTTTGTTCAGCCTTCATTAGAAAATAGAAGGGAGGTAGCTTTCTCCTGCTCAGCCCAAAAGACCCCTTCTCTCCCATTTTCCCTGTAACTGCTTCAGGATTTTGAACACTAGCTTCCTTTTGCCTCTAGTACAGCTGAGAAAATACACTCTGATAAAGACAGTGACATCCCAAAAGCCCTGGAATTACCCCGTTTATACCTCCAGCAACTAATAAAGACACCAGCTTGATTAATCTGCTCAGCGTTGAAGAATTTGGTTTTCCCTTGCCACTCTCCCAGAGCATGGGAATTAAATTCAGCCACAGTGGGGTGGAAGAGCAAGGAGAGAAGCCACAACTGTAGCTAATAGCACTGGTTGACAAATCCTGCCTCCACAGTCACTACCAACGCTATGTGTCTTGCCAGTCTTCATGTTAAATGCCAGGGGATTTTAGCAGGGTGTGAGAAAGTGGCCAAGGGGTCTGAGAGGGAAGGTTGCAGCAGCACAGTGAGAATGAAAGGGCAGAGGAAAGTTCTTGTAAGGCTTTAAAAAGCCCAATGGTTTTCCATTTCTTTTATGACTGTGAAGTAACTTAAGGTGTTATAGTGTGAGTTCCCTCTGAAAGGCCATAAATCATAGCAACCCGGCTGTATTACATCAAATTAAGAGCTATGGGTCGAGGAGAAAGTTGTTAAAATCTTGATGGATTTGGGAAATAAATAGCTGTGTCTACACTGGGACGAGTAATATTTACGTAGACACATGAAATGCTGAGTTCAGAATGCAATAGTTTTCAGAGACTGTACACAGCACTAATTTTCCAATAAGTAGAGAAATATTTCAGAGACTACAACTGCTGCTAGATTCCATCTGGTATATCTATAAGATCTTGAGGCAGTTCATAGCACAAGGTCACATTTCTCATTTTGGTTTCTGTAAGCAGAAGAAAAACGATTCAGGAATGGAAAAAGTGATTGTTTAGATTCCATAAAACCTGGGTTACTTATGTTGGGTGTCATCATAAAATTCCACATTAAGAAAGATGGTTATATTTAGTCCTGGATGGATATTTGTCATAGGCTTTGTTTCTCCTTTGACTTGTGAAATGAATCAGAAAATCACGTGGGATTTGAAAAGCACAAGCTGATCTGTCATTTTCTTCCCAAACGCCTTTTTACTTTATCCCGCTAGACTTGATATTGATGGATTTGTGTGGGAAATAATTTTAAAAAAGAAGGGGACAGATGAAAATCTACACCTCTCCTGCTTCTGCTTTCTGGTGTAGGAAAATAACGGGTTGGTCATTCCTCAGACTGTAGATACTGTCCCTTCAGCCAATTCTTTTTGTTGTTAGGAAGCACATTGAGGACTTGCCATCATAAAGTAGCATGGCAAATCAGTATTTTTAGGAAGACATAATTTGAGGGACACATTCATATTCTGAAATAATATGAGGTCTTTTAATTTCACGTCTTTATTGGGAGAACCTGCATGCTTTGTTGCATTAGCATATAGAAATTAAGATCTGGGTGGTAGGGCATGATAGGATGAAGTCTTGGGTCCTAGATCCGTTTTCTGTTGAGTGCCTGAAGAGAAAAGCCCGGTGCAAAGTGAGATACGTCTCCTGTGACCATGAGCAAGCTGGTGGTTCTGCTCTGCATGTGCAGCCTCTCTGTGCTTACTTCCACAACTGAGCAAACAAACCAAGCCATAGGCAGACAGGGAATGCTAACAAAGCTGGGCACCCGGGATCCGGGAACCAGCATGCACAGCACTTCCAGCATGTCCAGGACACCAGGATGCACATTCTTGCATGGGAGCCCAGTGAACTCACAAGACCTTCCAGATGCTGGGTCCTGGAACACTGCGTTGGTCCAGAAACAAGGCAAATACACGAGGGAAGATCAGAGTGATGAAAACAAACAAACAAACAAAACCCCAATAAAACAAGTAGTTGCTTCACCTCTTCCTCCCCCAGACCTAGATCAAGTTATGAGATAAGATCTGCAACTCCACCTGCCATTTTGAAATTTTTCTGGTTCCTCCTCTCAGCGAGAGGGAATTCTGAGCAGTTTTCCTGGCGCAGGCTCACTACTTACCCCCTACTTGACCTCCCCTGGAGTTGTTTTGGGATGATCCATTTTTTTTAAGTCAGCGGAGGGAGTGGATACCACAAACTGGACTTTTCTTCTTGCTGTGCTCTGTTTTTCAGAGGTGATGTAACCCTCTCTGTAATGCTCTCCTTCCTCGGTAGACACCACAAAGACCACAATTCCCATGAAGAGCACACATCTTGTAGCCCAGCAGCACTTTAGGGAATGCACGGTGCCTCTCACGCCTGTTAGACCATCAAGTGAATGCAATCACTGTGTTTTCATTTGTGATGTTTTTTGCATTGGGCTGCCAAAATGAATTTCAGGCATTTTAAACTCAAATGGAGGGTGAATGACTTGCTAGTAGAGTTCCTGGCTCTTTGGATAACTGTCATACCTGTTTGCATTACCAGTAACATAGGACCTCAGATTCTGAAAGAAAAATATCATGGACACATACCAACAGACTATAGCCGAAGGGAGTACTGTCAAATCCTGTTTTCTGAAGGGAGTGTGTATCTGCTACCCAAGTTTTCCATTGTAACAGGAAGTCTGGAAATTGGAATCTTCTACTTATAAGAAACAAGGATTATGCAGGAGGGTCTGCAGTGACATATTTCTATGTAGCTTTCTGCCCTTGTGCAGGGGAGAGGCTACTTCTGTCCTCCTCCACAGTCAGCCCTGAGCTTCTGCGCTAACACAGATGTCCACACAGAGCCAGGGAATCCAGTTCCATTTGTATTTTGTGTATCTATGTCCTCCCACCTTTCTACCACATGATAGAAAGTTGTTTTAAAATATTCTTTAAACTGAGTATGCAGCATAACTATGCCTCTAGATAAAAGATTTTGGAGCAAGGCCATTGACTGGTATTTAACAGAGTGTATGACTGTGATAAATTCCTATGTTAATACTTGGACTGCTCTGAAACACAAATTTTTCAATCAGTAGCACTCTTCTTAGTTGGAATTATAGAAGTATGTATGCCAGAGCTAATATGTTTGTAACGTTCATTTGTTTTTACAGGTGCAAAGGGCCAGGTCTTGAAGGCTGTCCAAACGGGTAAGTATTTCATCTGGTACAATTAACGACAGAGCTGGAAAGAATGCATGTGTGTTTACATTTCCACGCTGGACACTGCAAGGCTGGGACTAAAGTTAAGTCTTCAGCTCTGTACAGGGAAGTGACAGATTAGAGCATACTTCGACCTGTAAAAATGATTTAAAGAACTGAGAAATATTCCTACTGGCACAAGACTCCAAAACCTTGTTCTGCTTGGCTTGTTTGTCAAGGTGAGACCTGGGATCTGTTACTGGAGAACAAAAGGAGGACCTGGAAAAAGAAAGGATTAAGGGCTAGTGGCAAAGAGAGATATGTTTAGGATTGATACGGTTACCTGCATTGCAGGGGATTCTCAGAAACCCAGGAGGTCTTTTCCAGCCCTGTGGTCTGTACATCTCCAACTGCTCTGTGCACAGATGGACATTTATTCTTCACACTAGATCTTACGTTGCACTGTTCAGCCTCATGACTTGCTCAAGGTCATGCAACAAGCAATCAGGCTTCTCTAAGAGAGAGGGATTTAATTTTTGGCCACAAAGTATGCTATGGCAAGACAAATTCAGCCTAGAAATACTGTTAAAAAGTGACTATTTAATAGTCATTCCTGGGGCAACTTAGAAAGAGCTGTGATGGATCCCTTAAGTACAGACCAAAAAACAACCTTGGAAAACAGGTTTTTCTTTTCAACTTAAATTTGAAATGACCGAGGCTCTAATACAGAGGTGGCAATCCATATGTACAGTGTGGATGGTTCACACATTACCTGGCCTCAGACATTTGTACTTGGGGAGGAGGGCCAATGATCTGAAGTTCATTGTGACCCTTACAGCATGCCCCCCCCCCAATGGTGAGATGTCAGCTTCATTGCTGGTATCACAACTGCATATGCCTTCCTGATATCTCCTTTTCTTCACATGCTTCGTGTGTCTGATCACATGCGGGCTGCCCATGGTGGACATATATAGGCATCACAGATTTGATGCTCATGTGCTTGGTGGGTTTGTCAAAGGAGAAATCCCCTCACTTATGCTAGGAGGATCAGCTCCAATTGCGAGTTTGAGAGAAGAGTGAAGACTTTGAGCAGGTTACTGGATGAGGAACTTGAAAATACAGATGCCCAAGGTATCTGAAATGTCAAATAGGCTTAAGTGGATGTCCAGAGTGTGTGTTTGATCAAAACCTAAGGCTTCATGCAACTTCTGTAGGGTTTTTTTAAAATCTTACACCTAAGCATTTTTTTTTCTCTTTCTGCATCCCCTCCTGTCTTGCAGCTCCAAAATCCCATCTATCGCAGCTGGTGTCGTTGGAGGTCTCCTGTGCCTGGTGGTGGTTGGCTTGGGCATCGGCCTTTACTTGCGGAGGCGCCACATCGTCAGAAAGCGGACCCTGCGCCGGCTGCTGCAGGAGAGGGAGGTAAGCATCACCATCTGCTTTATTTGGGGCAGTGGGTGCTGTCCTCCTCATACCAGTGAATTAAAGCACCATGCATCTGTCTTGTAACTCAGCAAGCCCTTGGGTTGGCATATACGGCGTCTGCCATGCTAGTTGGAAAAGAGGTGCTGTGCACCTAACACCTTCTCACTTAATCTTAAGTCTGATCCCTCTGGATATAATTTTCTAAAGCTTTAGGGGATTTAGATGTCTAAATCCCAAGGAAAATCATTGAGATTGTCTACTCGGAAAAAACTACACCATCAGGGTGAGGTGCAATGTGTTTGCTGATCCATACCACCTTGCTGTGTAGACCCTCCGCATCGAATGTTTTTTCCCTCCAGACAAGCCTTGATGCTGCTGTGGCACCTTGGGTGCTTTTGAAAATTTTACCCCCTTGATCCAGGCATATGTCTGATCCTGTGGAAAAAAAGGAGGGAGAAAGGAGAGGAGGGAAAGGAATTGAGGAAGTGTTTGTGTCTTGTCTTTGGTTTCTTTTTAGCACAAAAAAACCACAAAGCCATCAAAGTGAATGGTTCACGCTGTTGGGCACGAACAAGGTTTCTACACTGCTTTTTGTTTTCCGCATGGTTTTGTGTGCGTTACAGCATCACCCTCTGGGTACCTCACATATAAAATAGCAAAATTCATTATCCTGGATTAAAGCCACTCTTTTATGATTAGCCCCTTTCTCTTTCTAGTCCAATCCTAGTAAATAATTAGCAAATTGTATTTAGCATTCTGCTGAAAGCCCATTTGCAGCTTCCTTTTGTGCTCACTGGCTTTGCAGAATCATCTGCTAAAATCCTTTAAAAAAAAAGCTGTCCTGCTTTTTAATGGGCTACCTAACAATATTTTACATACCACTGTATTCCACAGTTGCGATAGTAGAGTTCAGTTTGTGCTCAGCTCATATTGTCCCCTCTGGACTCCTCAAAATGAGGATATTTCATCACAACAGAAAGGTTGCTGGGCCGCTAAAATCAGATTGTATCTAGCTAAATATGGTTTTATTCAAAGGAAAGGAAAAGGAAAGAGCACTAAGGGAAAAAGCTGACTTATGCATCAAAAAAGTGTTAAATATTTCTGTTTGGGGGGCATTACTGCTGTTCGCAATAAGGCTTAGATCAATAATTTTGAAAACATTGATAGTGAATTCAACATCTCCTTTTTTATTGAGAAAAGAATCACTCTCAGAGTTTCAATTGCTGCTTGTAAACCCTGCAGTCTGGGGGAGCCATGGGTACCATGGGAACTTCATCCAGTTAAACAAGAGCAGACCTGAAAAGTTGCGGGTGATTCTCGCCCATTATTTAAAACATTTTTATAATTTATTCACAAGTTCAAAGAAAAAAAAATCTTCTTTAGGATCTGTGATAATTACATTATTCTTCATGCCATGTGTTTTAAGGCTTTGAAGTCAAAGCTTTCATTTGAACAGTAGTATTCCTTCATTCTCCTTCAAAATGGCAGTCGCCATTCTGTGATTGATATTACCTCTGAAATTTGGAGCAACTCTAGATATTTATTGCTGCAAGTCAGAGTGGAGCTGTCCTCCCAGAAACTTCAAGTGGAATAAAATGTTCATTATTTTAAAAGAAGGATATATTTGCTTCCCCAAAGCATGCTGCTTGCTGTCCTCCTAGACTGTATATCCTTCTAAAGTCTTCTTCTCTCTGCACCAGCTTGTTGAACCACTGACACCCAGTGGGGAGGCACCGAACCAGGCTCATCTGAGAATTTTAAAGGAAACAGAATTTAAGAAGGTCAAAGTTTTAGGCTCTGGAGCTTTTGGCACTGTTTATAAGGTAAGATCACCACGTTTCTCTTCCCCTTTTCATCTTGCTCACTCATGCAGAAACCACCCAAAGAAAGCATGAAATAGGAGCTGCGATCATTGCATAGATTTTTTTTTAAACTAGATTTTATAGCATGTATATATATTGAATGGTAGAGAGATAACTCAATCATCATTAGTTGAGTTATGAATCGGGTAACATGGGAAGTTTTACATAAGGTGTTGCCAAAGCTATACTGCTGACCCT